GTGTTTTTTGGCACCATGAGAATCCTAATGTATTGAGGACTAGGGTTGTGATCCTCCCCTTATATTCACTGAAGCCTCTGAGAATTCTAGTCCCAGCCACATGAAGCCAAAATAAAATATTATCTTCGTTTGAGATGGCATAAACCATAGGTGGGCAAAATATGCCAAATGCCAGGTTTGAGGCCTCCAGATCCCTCCACCCATTTCCACCCCCACCCCGCAAGAAATGTGGATTGCCACTCCCATGAAGTTTTACATCATAACTTGCAGCCCTCCCCTTTTAAACTTAAAGTTCTTTTTAACAAACCCAAATTGGACCTGTGTCACTTCTTGTTTTGTTTTTCAATTTTCATTTATTTTAGGGAGCCCAATGCAACTTCAAGTGGGTTCTGCAGCCAAGAAATTGTTCCGTCTGTGGATCCTTGAAGCTTGTCCACCCAAGACCTAAGTACTTGTCTTTGCTTCTCTGGTCACAAGAGTGGAATCAAGGAAGCCCAGCAGAAGATGGTATAGCGTCCCACGTATATGCCGTTCCTGAGAATGATCACTGATATCACATGAAAAAGAGAGTAGTACAGGAAGAAATCAGAGTTATGGAGACTGCTTGATAAAAACATCAGTCATGCAAAGTTTGTAGAACATTTGGTAGAAAAGAAAATCCAGGAAGACACTTAGTAGCAGGTGTTACTCAATGAATGCTGGAATAGAAGAGACTGAAGGAGTTGATTCACATAAAGAATTGCTCTCCCAAAAATGCAGCTATTGGGCACATGAATTTTAAAATAGATGTGTAGGATAGCAGCTGCTCCTCCCCCACTTCTAATCAAAGACCATGTGCAAGGGAGTCTCAGTGCTGGCCCTGATCCCTGCTTGCTAATGCATCCAGAGGCCACATCCCCTGCTATGGATTAAACACACCAACACAGGAGTACAGGGCACAATCTCATGCAGCACCTTTCATACAGAAAGAGTGCATGTGGCCATCATATGCGTCTAAAGCAGAGAGAGGAATACCATATGCAATCCGCCTGCAAACCTCCCAAAGGACTCCTTGCTTGCATGAGCATGTTCATCTCAATGCTCCCTTTCTGATGAACCATCCCATTGGGCTTTAAGTTATCTCACTCAATGCCATGTTGTGACCCTTGAATTTTTCTATGGCCTATAACTTGCACTGTTAGCAGGAAAGTCTCCATAACACAGAAATGGTGCCTGATAAAAGCTTTGGAACCAGAATGGGTTAGGCATGGACTCCAGTGTTTGCATAGGCAAACACAAGTCTTTGCAGAGCAAAAGGCTACCTGCTAACACCCACACCCCTGTGCAATTCAGCCTGTTTTCCTTCTATATAGCAATTATTCTTGGAGTCTAAACACACACTGCCTTATTTATTCTTTCTCTGTAAGGTCTCGAGAACCAAGCAAAGTTCAGTTTTTCTCATAACTCAGCTCTGGCAACTAGAAAATCAGGAAACACAATTAACAATACAATCCAACACTTGTCTGTTCAGAAGCATACTGCATGAAATTCAACAGAACTTACTTCCAGTAAGTATATACAGGATTGCAGGCTAACTTGGTTTTAAAAATGCTCTATTTTAATCAAAGAATTGTGTCGATTCATTAGAGTAACTGGATTTTGAATGGAAAAATCAACACATACTGATTGGCACTTCTAAGAATTAATTATTTAAATGGACCTTATGTAGGCTGAACACATTTGAAGCTTGTTTTCTTAGATTCAAAGTTAATGAAGCCACAAGAGACAGTCTAGAAATAAGAACCAGTGCTTCAGAGACAACTTCAACAGAGCATGTTCTAATTGCTGGCTTTGAAAGTTCCTTTGAGAGAGGAAAAAAAATTAAAACACACATAACCGTATCAGCCATATCTCACGTGATAAATGAAATAAACACAAACTAGAAGTAAAGAACATTTTAAATTGCCTAGTCCAGTGGCAGCGAACCTTTTTGGGCCCAAGTGCCCAAACTGAAAAAAGAAAAAACAACCCACTGGGCAATGGCGGAAGGGGGAATCCCGGGCATGGAGGTGCCTCAAGACCCCACTCCGGATCCGCCACCAGTGCCAGCTGCTCTGGATCCTGGCCCACCACCTGTCGAAGCATGAGCTGCAGCCACTTCCTGAGGTTTGGCTTTATGTGTGTGTGTGGGGGGGAGAGTAGCAATCCGGAGACTAATTGTTGGTGTGCCCGCAGAAAGGGCTCTACGCGCCAGCTGTGGCACGCATGCCATAGGCTCACCATCGCTGGCGTAGTCAATTACATAGTTCTTTAACAAAAGTAAAATACAAGAAGGCAATGGGAAAAGCAGCAAAAATAGATGCATTACATCTACAGCCTAATTCTACACAGATTTATCAGAAAATAAATTGTATTCAACCTGACTTAATTTTGACTGTACACAGGACTCCAGCTTGATCTTTACATCTGATGAACTGGACTGTACAGACCTTTTGTTGTTTTTGTTTACAACATAGTTAAACACAACTACCTATCTGGAGCCTGATCCTATGCATGTTTCATGAGAAATATGTATTGGCACGTATGTTGTGTAAGCTTTCTAAGCCACCAGGTCTACAGTCAACTTTCCAAGGAAACTCACGTGTCTTATAGACTTATAGGGTGTTTTTTTTTTTTTTTTGAAAAAAGAATTTTACCTCTTAAAAAAGGATTCTACTTCTCATCATGCGCTCCCTTATACTCTCCTGAGTTCACAGGTTGACTGGTTTTAACATGAGGGTGGTTTACTGTCAAGCGTAGAGAAATGTTGTGGTCCCAACTGAAGGGAGGAAATATTTATATTTTAACCATATATGTTTTATGAACTGGCTGTACACCTTTTTAATTGCATTTTGTGTATTTTAACCACATAATATGTTTTATGAACTGATTTTATATTTTTAAACTGCATTTTGTATATTTTAACCATAAATATGTTTTATGAGCTGGTCACCTGACTGTAATAAATAAATTCATTCATACTTATCATTATGTGCTCAGTGTCATGTGTATTTTGCCCCTTAGATGTTTGGAATGATTGCTTTTAAAATCAATTATTGTATAATTTTGATACTCAGTGTGGTCTAGTAGTGGATAGAGTGATGGACTAGAATTCAGTAGATCTGAGCTTGGCCAAGGAAACTCATGGGGGTGGGTGGGATGGAGCTGGTAAAACCATCCCTTAAATATTTCAGTTATCTTGAAAGCTCTGTTATATTGCTGTGCGCTCTGGCTTGATAGCACCTCTCTCTCTCTCTCTCTCTCTCTCTCTCTCTGTTGGGAGAGATGAGACAAAAAATTAATTTCACTTCCCCTGACCCTTCACACCTTCACAGGCAAGCTTACATCTAATCCACACAGAGTTCAGCATCACTTCCCAAGCCAATATGTATATGATCATAAGTTTACAATCATAACAGTACTGACAAAAATAATACATGTCATGTGTATGCAATGTTTGCTTCAAAGCAGCCACATCCATGCAAAATAACATAACATTGTCCCAGTCCCATCTTCCTCTTCAGAATGGGTGCCAACTGACAAAAGAAGTATGATGTCCCACAGTTACAATCCTGTAGACAAGTTCTTGAGAGTAAATGAACTCATCTTTAAGCAAGGAAAGCACAGCCTATTTGTACACTTCACTATTCCTTGTAGCTCTCCCTAAAGTACAATAACAATTTACACACAAAGCAAGTCCCTCTCTTTTACCAAAACAGCAAAAAAAATATCTTGTAACACCTTAAAAACCCAACACCTTTTATTTGACATAAATTTTCCTGACCGGCAGCCCACCTTTTGCAGATGGTGGAGTACAGTCTGCTTAGACAAACATCTGCTCAAACATGAGAGAGAGGGTGTGGGTGTGTATGTACAAGGTAATGAAAATAGAAAAGATCTTCTTTGTAAGACAGTTCACTGGAGGAAATTGTATTGTGTGTTTTTTTTAAAGTGGAGTAACTCCAGTTTTACCACAGTAACTTTTGTTGGCGAGAATCTATCCAGATATTATAAAAATAAAGAAGGAGATTACCTTTCCTAGCTGACCTTAACAGAGAGGAAAGAACTTTAAAGTGCAGTGACTTAAATATAGTATATACTCCCCACCCTCTCTCTCTCTGAATGAGCGAAAAGGCACACCCCCGGGGACGGTGTTTTCTGCAAAGGGACTTCCCCGCCCGCCAAGGATGGCTCCTCAGCATCGTTCCAAATCGCCAAAAGCGGCCAGTCGGGCAAAGCAGGGAGGCTTTCTCGGACGACCCGGAGGGTCCCCTGGCAGCCCCTCGCTGCTCCTGCTGCTTTGGGGGGTGGGTAGGTGGGAGCGGGCTGACTTCGTCGGCGAGGGAAACTTTCCTCGCCGCTTGAAGCTGCCAGGAAGGTCCTCCTCGGTTCCTGGGTGGGCCGTGCGTGGGAGGGGGGGCGCGAGGGTGTTCCTGGGAGCTCCTCGCACCGCCCACCTCCCACCCCCCCTCGCCTTCCCTTTACTACCTGCAGCCGGCAGCGGCCGAAGCCAGAGAGCCCCGCTCCGGAGCGG